GGTCAGAGAAGAAGGAGGGAGAAAAGGTGCTCCAGGCGTTGGAGCAGAGATGCCCTGCAGCCCATGGAAGACCCATGGTGAAGCAGATGGATGTTCCTGAAGGAACTGTATACCTGTGAAAAATCCATGCTGGAGCAGAGGGAAAGTGTAAAGAGGAAGAAGTGGCAGACAGAAACTGCTCTATGTACTGACTGTACCTCCCCCACATCCCCTGCACCACTTGCAGGGGTAGAGTCTGGAGTGAAGGAGTGAAGTCAAGCCTGGGAAAGGGGGAGGAAAGGTGTTGTTTTAGTGTTTGTCTTTCTATTTCTCACTACCTGAATCTATTCCAATTTGCAAGTTTCCCCAAGTTGAGCCTGTTTCCCCTGTGACAGTAACTGGTAAGCAATCTCCCTGTCTTCATCTCGATCCACAAGCTTTCTCATCCTATTTTCTCCCTCTGTCCTGCTCAGGAGGGGAAATGAGCAAGCAGATGGGTGGGAGTTTGGCTTTTAGCCCAACCACACCAGATTTTATAAATCATTTCAAATAACTTTACATTTTAAACCAAAATAATTTTGGGATGTATCTCCCTATCACATTCCAGGTTACTGTATAGTGTCACTCTTACAGTAAATTTTTCCTTAATCCTTTGCCCACTACTTTTCTGAATCAGCTTTTCCTGCACATTATTTCCCTCATGTTGTTAACGTTTGGCTTCAGGGAAATTCTCCTTATTGTAGTAATTTATGAGTCGACTGTTTCTGACTAATGTTAAACACTGTCTTCAGTGTAGGATTCTGTACTAACCCTTAGCTTCTGGGGTTTTTATTCTACCTACTGCTGCATAGCAGAGAAAGAAATTTATTCCTTCCTCTTTGCAGCTGAAAAGTAAGGCTTAACCCGTTTGCTAGTAAGAATTTAATAAACCACAGTCTATTTTTGTGAAATCTGCACAGTATTTTAACTAACTTACACCATAAAAAAAACCTACCTCAATGGATAGGACTTGCACATGATTTTGGCTCTATATACAGTTTTCTTAGACCCCTGAATATGATCCCCTTAATATTCAGAGAACAAAACAGATCCATTATTCACACAGCTTGGAATACTATAAAAGATTTTGATTAAGTACATGAAATCTCTATTACCATCAAAGGTTGATAACCTTTACCCAGCTATTTTAAATTCATTTACCCCACAGGAAGTGAACTGTTAAAAAGAATACTTCGTAGAAAAGCAATAACCCTTTTTTTCTGTACCTGTGTCATGGTAGAAAAAGAAAAGCCATCTATACCTTCAGGTAGATATGTTATTTACATGTAGTCATTCTTAAAAAAAAAATTCCGCAACAGATGGTTTTCTTTTGGTTTTGTAATAACCTGCTAGTGCATAAACTCTCACTGTACAACAGGCAAGGAAGGTATTATTTTGCTTTCAGATGTGTAGGATACTTAAAAAAAAAAGTAGTAGTAAATATCCAGATGCTGTTTTCTCAGATTAAATAACAAGGCCGATGTTCTTGAAATGCACAGTTATCCTACTGAAAGCTGAAGCCTGAGATCTTGGCAGACAAAAGGGAACACCTCTTTTTTGGAAACAAATTACACAGTGAACGTGTCACCTCCTGTCACTTGTCAAATATGGAACCGAGAAAGATGTCACTCATTTGTAGTTTCTATCTAAGTCATCTAATCCACTATGCAACTAAATACGAAGAAAGGAAGTAAACAAAAATGTTGCATTCTTCAAAGCATTACATATTTAAAACAGCCTAAAGGAAAAGGAGCAAACATAAGGATCATATGCCATGATCAGAGTTTCACTGACACACTTCTACAGTAGAACATTCTGCCTCTAAAAACAAAGAGAACACACTAGCAGCCATTGAAAGTTTGACATTTTTAAAATGGAATTAATACAACAAAAGCTTTGCCTTAAAACATAAAGCTGATATTAATCTAAATAAAGGTCACAGAAGGTGCCAGGTGGACTTCTCAACAATTCCAATAATCAACCATGTTCAGAATAAAACAGGACAAATAGGAAAAAAAAAACAACCTTTTTACACTTCCTAGTATTTTCATTTCACCTCTGGAGGGAGACACTTCCTGGAGGTAAATAATGAACAGAGAAGAGGCTACAGGTATAAGTTACAACAGATAAAATTTCAACTGAAAATACAAAGAAAAAAAATGACACGAAGATGGCTCAGCACTGGACTGGGAGCCCAGAGAGATCAGAGACTCTCCAACCCACCATGGTCCTGGGTAACCTGGGCTACTCTCAGTTGGCTTTGCCTTGGCAAGACATTGCAGCAGATGGTCTCTCCATCTTATTTTTCAAAGTCCTTAAATGTCGGGACTTCATAGCAAAAATAAGATGACCAGTAACACGTAAAGCCAATGGTATCTTAGCACAGAACAAATTTAACAGTGTTTACCAGTGTCCTCCTGGTGGCTGGTCAAGTGAATAACCCTTCTGCTCTCTAGTGACAGTATTTCCTAGAACTCCACTAATGGCAACAGGAATTTAGACACCAAAGCTGGCGTACAGGCACCTACATCTAGACCTGTAAATTTAAATATCATAACCTTAAACTGAATCCCATCCTATGTAGCAGACTTCTAAGCCTCAGCTAGCCATTCTGGGCTCCCTTCATAGCACTTGGAAAGAAGCATGCAGTTCAGATTGTAATTCAGAAGACCCATTACAGATGCCTACCTTTGAAGCACCTCTTTTGCTTTAAGGAGGGTTTGCTATAGAGTGACTACCAGACCATGATTTAGATAAATCAACCTCAATAAAGTCCTCGAGCTCAGGAGCACACTAGGCTTCTGAGTGCTCCTAGGACATGATCAAATATACAGTTAAGCTATTTCCACCACTTTCCTAAATATGAAATTGGGTGCTGTATTTTTCCTTCCATCCTTGATTAGGGATATCTTAAATGAAGCTTATAGTATATTAGAATTATTACCCAACCCAAAGGATTCTCTTAATATACAGAGGATACGTACCTCAACTTGTTTTCCCTTAGGTAAGTAAAGTCTGCATATTGCTTTCTTCAGTCAATATTTAGTTTCAGTGTACAATGTAACATCAGTTACGTTAGTCTGGGCAATTCAAAGTAATTCATACTTATCCAGACAGCTTTATTTCCTTCAAGGATTCCCTCCTCAATCTTTATTAACCATGGCAGGCTATACAAATATTTTAGAAGATACTCATTAAATTTTAAAAACTAAGTGTGAAATAAGGGTACTTTGAGCTGCCTATTGTTACAAGAAGAATAGTAACAGACGAAGCAAAGTTGATAGGCATTTTGTCATTGATCACCCAAAGGCCAGGATTTCACACAGTACTGCAATTAAAGGGTAGGATTGATCTATTCTTACAGTCTAAAACTATGACAGGTAAACTATGACTTGTCAACTTAGGTTCTTATTAGTCAGCAGAACAGAAAGAAACAGTCCTGGAAGTCAGTTCTCCTCACCTAGCCAGGTTAGGAAGAGCTGAAACAATACCTGCATTTCCCATTTCTCTCTATTGACCAAAAGAAAAGGTCTGGATGATTAGCTCAGGCTCAGCTATCTACAGTTAGTAGAGGTAGATGTCACCTTCATAATGTTTAGGGTTTTATTTTGGAAACTTCCCACATTCACAGAATCATTGTTTAATGAGTAACAGTACCTCTCCTATCTACTGGAAAAGAGGCAACACTAATAACATTAGAGTCATAAAAATCCACTGTTCCATATAAGTTCCTTCAATGTAAACACTTTGCCAAGAAACTAGCAAATCTTTTTCTTTTTTTTTTTTCCAAATTATTTCATTTTGCAACCAAAAAGACAGACATACCAAGGAAAGAGGAAGCATTTTCTGATAGATCCACACAAATAATTGCAAGTGAGCAGACCATACCTTGTTGTATGCTATATGCTTGTTCTATGCTCCATGTTAAATACCATATCAGACAAAGCATTTGGAGCACTTAGACTCCAAATATCTGCATTCTGCAAGGCAATCAAGTTTTTTAGAAGCTAATACCTGTATTGCCATTAGAAAAATCGAAAACCAGAGTTCATGAGTTACAAAGACATTGCCAGGCACCAAAGAAGCAACATTATAAAATACACCTGTGTAATACCCTGGATGTGCTATGGGCTAACAGTATAGGACCTCACACTGAGTGTGATTTCCTTGCCAGTCTAAGTCAACTTCTCTTTTAAGTGAAAGAGGACATAACCTAGTTTATGTTGAAACAGACTTCTTATATGGAGGCAATGTTGAAATTACACATTTTTACATTACTACTCATTATTTCTGCTTAATACATTGTCCTTAGTGTTATGATGAGCCACATACAACGTTAAGGCAACCTATTATAGTCAAAAGCAATGCTAGAAATCTCAGTTCAGAAACCTTATTTAAGTTTGCAGCTGGTGAAAAACAAACCCTTTTTTTCAATACAGGTTCTGTCATCTATTACATATTAAGCATACTTCATAAAAGAAATCTAGCTACAGTATTTTCTCCATACAAAACAAAACCAACACTAATATTCTTGAATAAGTGATAAAGTTTCATATACATTTCCATTCAGATGACTTGCAGAGATTTATTTAACAGGCTCTCACTGGAAAAAATAGACTCTAAGGCTATACATAACACACGTGAAATGGAACAAAATGTGAAACCTGGTCCTCACACTGTTAAATTGTTTTAAAAGCTTCTGCATTACTGCAGTTTTTCTGCTCTGAATTCACACTCTGACATCTCCATATGAATGGGCAAAAGCAGATCTGACGATAATCACTGCCACTAACCTTTGTTAGTTGTTTGAATCTAAACACACTGAAAACTTTTCTGACCCAAAATCATCTTCCTCCCCTCCATCTCCAAACTAATATAGTTCCACTGGCTTCAGTACTGACTTACATCAAATTAATATCCATCCTTTTCATTTTTATGTCATGTTCATTAAAAACATTCCAGAAGCTGAAGAGCTGACTTACCATTTTCTTCCAAGTACATCAGAAGGATGCTGCTAGATTCAGTCCCTTCTATGGCATAATCAAGTGCGATGTTGCCATTAACATCTTGCAGCAGCACATTTGCTCCAGCCTACAGACAAGAATTGAAAACATTTTAGGATTTTGTAGTAAAATCTCAAACACTACTGGGGTTCTTGTACATTCCCATTCAAAAACATTTCAAAGCTGGGGTTCTTAGACAGAAGGCTGATTATAACCTGAAACAAAACAAAACAAACCACACAAAAAAAGCACAGACAAAATAAAGGACTCCTGAATGTCAAAAAGGGCTGGCTTTGCCTGGGACAGCTGACACTGTTGCCACCCTAGCTATCCAGCCTGCCTTTACTGCAGAGATGTCTGAGCTGCTCAGCAGTGAGTTTTAGAACCACCACCATTTGCAGCGCAGCATTTTGAAGTAAAGTAAGCTGTCACTGATTACACTCTGCCTTAAAACACTACACAGTAAACAGCACTGGTTCAAAAGCTGACTGACAAGCAGCACAGACACCCATGCAACAGGGATGGGTAGACAGCTGGTAAGGGTAACCTTGTCAGCCGGCCCAACCTCTTACAGCCTCATCCATCAATCCAACCTTGATGATTTCAACCGTAATCCCTAAAGGAGCCAGGCTGACATTTCTGTAAGTTTCATTCAAAATTCAACATAAAGGGCAGACAACTAAAAGGAGCCATTGAGTGGGGAGGGAAGGGGAACAGATTCATGAGAAGCTTGAAAAGAAACCACCAGCATGATAAGAAAACTTGCCTTTTCTATATAAAATATTGTTAGTGTAAGAATTTGCACTATGAAGGGCGATTTTTTTTTTTTTTTTACATAAGAAAGCTCTCATCCTTGAAAATATTATGAATGTCTGGTGGACAAAAGTTTAAATTACAGTGAAATGTCATGTATCTTCTTTAAGAGGCCATAAGTTTAATTCATTTCAAGTTTTCTCTCTATGGCTTTTTACTGCAAGGAATTATGAAATAAGAATGACCTTTGGTAAACTTAATTACTTGTCTTATAAGTGTGTATGATAAAAAGTTTAGCTAAAAAAAATGAGGGGTATCAAGAACAGCCTTTCTTAAAACCACAGGAGCAGAGGCCAACTTTAATAAGGAATTATTAATGGAAGGTATGACTGCTTTTTTCAGGAGCTTACTCTGTAAGTACTGTATCAAAGAAAAACTCACAATGGGCTCAGCTCCTGGCTCGGAGTGAAATATGACATAAAAAACTAGCAAATTCATGTAGGCTTCATGTCATCAAACTGAAGGTGTTGGAGCTGGACTTGCTAGTCTGAGGTGACCTCCTGGGTTCCCATCACAGTGACAAAGGGACAGACAGGCATCAAAGAATGACTCACCTCAGCCATCTCAAACACTTAAGATATCCTACTAGACCATATCCTATACAGCAAAATAACCTATCTTGCTACAAAGTATACTACTTTCTTTTAGCACCTGTCTTGCTGCACTGACTGTAAGGAGAACCTAGACAGCAAATTTAGATTAGATGTATATCTTTTAAATTGCTAAATTATATTAGATGAGAGGAGTTGACTCTCATGCTTAGTGAAAAGGAATGCAAGGAGACTTACAAGCAAAGAGACTTAACAAGGTGTAATATCTTTTATATTCATTATAGTGCTATGAAAATAAATTTCTGCTTGCCTGTCCTGCCAGACAAAATTAAAACTATGATCAAAAATCAAATAAAGAATGAATGTGAAGACCATAATATCTTTGCAGGAAGGTTTAACAACTATTTATTGCACTTGTTCCATTACTGGGAAGCATGATTTTTGTTTGTTTTGCTTTCTACTCACTGAACCATGACAGTTTGCTGGTAATGACAGAACCAAGGAAGCAACACATTTTCATATTTATTTGACTTACAAAGACTTGAAGGCACCTATCCTTCCCTGCATGTAAATAACCTTGGAGAAGGCTGACTCGTCTGACTTCAGCAAATTTAATTTTAAGAACTGTACCAAATGTTTTGAGAATAGCCACAAACACTGTGATTTGTAAAGTCTGTTGCTGGTTATAAAACAAGTTTTGGATCAGGGAATTTTACTTAATTTATTGGCCAACAAACTTTTAATTATTGATTCTGCTACTGAAAAATAGAAACAGGAAAACAAGCAAACACTTAGAGAACTACACTTGGACTCCTCTCTAGACACTGCCTCTTCCCCTTCCCGTCTCCAAGCCCCTTGCCACTCGCACGCTATGCCTGCAGTGGACAGTGTGGGAGACTGGGGTCAGCACGTTGTGGTTCCGCTTCTTTGGTGGTCCCTTGTTTCTTCCTCCACTGCTCTAGCATGGGCTCCTTCACTGGCCAACAGTCCTGCCAGAGACATAACTCTCCCCCCAAGTCCTCTGCTCGGCTCCCACTTGGGCAGTTCTTTCGCTCCAGTCCTGCTTGCGGCCCCTCGCTGCCAGCATCATGCAGGTTATGCCCAGTACCAAACTCCACTGTGCTTTCGAAAGCAAGCTATTACAGGTATAGAAAGGTGGGGAATTCCACTGTATCTCCCTTCCTTAGTGTATTGCACAACATCCCGCCAAAAAGATGTGTGACAGGTTGTCACTATGATGCAAACTGTACACGCCAATATTTTGAAGTGCACATAGTATGGACTTTTCTTCCTGTTCGCTCTGATTACACATTTGCCTGCGATACAATGGAAATTACTTGCTGTTAAATGTGACACAGGCTTTTCAATTGCTCAGGATTTCTTTTATTTCCAGGCACCTCTCAGATTGTTATGGCCAGTCCTGAAAACCGATTTGAAATCTCATTTTCTAATTATAAACCAAATTTCCCATTTAGCTACTTCTGTAAGTAAAGACAAGATGGCAATCCCACAGATGGCAGAAGACATGGCAGAAGTTCACACAGGTAACTGGCAGGGGTCAGAGCAGAATGAATGAGAGGCAAACTAAGCAGCAGAAAACCAGCAGGCTCAAGCAGAAGTACAGACAGAGCATGACAAAGACATAGAACATGTTGCAGGTAGCAAATGTCACAAATACTGTAGCTTTAGTTCAAATTCAGACGATCAAAATCGTGCTAAACAACTTGAGTGCTATTGTTACATATATGGCCTTGTAAGCCAGACAGTAAGAAACCCAGATATGAGTAGAGATGCAGATGGAATTGAGATTATCTGAATATAGTCCTACTTTGTTCTTGGGTTTCTGTTCATAGCTCTGAAAGAGACTATGAGGAATACTGTCCCCAGGCTGCTGCTATTAGAGTTCCCAAATTTATATGCATACCTTGTTTATATTCAAAATGTAATTCCCTGTTTATTCCATTTCAGTTCAAATGTTTTATCCACCCTCTTGAATTCTGCATGCAGTGCTCTGTGTACATGAAAAGTTACTGGCTTACCGATTCTCCGCACATCCTCATTCTCAAGTCATTTCACAATAAAAAGATAAATGCATTGCAAAGAATTTTTGAGAAAAATATTTGTCTGCAATGATAAATTGCTTGTAATTTAGAAAAACTGCAGAAGGAACATCTTTAAATATATTATTTTAAAATGTTCCCAAAGACACCTAGCTCAATACACAGAATGCAAAATGCAACTGAAATGCATGCTCTGCTATGCAGAACAACATCCTTATGTAGAGAGAGCATATGAGAGTAAACCCTGGTGATCAACAATAGAGTGAGCAGACAGTGCCAGGTTTGCACACTATCCCTGTATGACCAGATATCAAGAGCCTCCTGCCAAAGAGAAAATACCTTTGGCTAGTGAAAAGAGGTAAGATTTCCCTTCTGGTTCCAGAAATGATGATTCAAAATACTTCAATTTATCTTAATAATGAGGACGATAAGGAAAATAAAAAGGATAATTTTACTGTGCCTATTCTTAATTAATTTCTGCCTATTTACTTATTTGTAGCATCTCTGATACGTTTTCCTTTCAGACAAACTGAGTACAATAGCTTAACTCCACATATATGCAAAACTGGTGACCCTAAATATTAGGTACTGAGCTCAGGAGCAATATAGCATGAGGTAGGTTAGATGTGAACAGTTTCACAGTACCGATCTCTGTGCATACCCCCATTTTTTGCTAACATAGTTGTTTGAGATGACATCCCACTCAGTGGGAGAGAGATGAATAACTTCAGATTCACTGTAGAGTACATGATACAATGTACATTCCCAATATAACTTATCCCCCGATCACATCTTTGTATAGCTAAACTTTAGGATAGCACAGGGAAGAACACCACTTTGCACACCAGGGTGTAGTAAGGAGCTGAACTCTTCCTTCCCAAATAATGTACCAGAAGGTGGGGAAAGAACCAAATAGCTTCTGAAGTCCAAGCACTATTGGAAATTTTCATTTACAAGAACTTATAAAAATTAGTAACTTCATCACATCATCACATGTGAACAGACTGTGAGCATAGCCAGAGTCTTCTACAGGGCTCTGTCCCTATACAAGGTACCTGTTGCCACTTGGCCCAAGTGCAAAAGTATAAATGCAATCACAAACTCTCAAGACTGTTGCTGTCGCTATAGCCCATTGAATCAATGTCCAAATTCCCACTGGTAAAATAAGAGTTGAGTTTAGTCCATATTCTACATTTGGGAAGCCTAATTAGTGATACTGTTAACTCACAAGCAAATAATTTATTTTTCGTTTTCTCCACCAATCTCTCTTTTCTTTTAAGAATTGAAATCTAAAAACCAATCTAACATGCACAGGGGCAAACCTTTAATTAAATATTTGATTTTTCAAAAAGTCTTAGAACTTCCTTTTCTGCAACAGATGTAGGTTTATCAGTGCTATTTACTAGCTGGCTAACAATCTTTGCTACTCTTTCTTATTCCCAGTTTCTTATACATCTTTATCTCACGATTCCCAAATAAGAAATGTATCTACCTACCGTTACTTGAAAAAGAACAAGGACCATTCCATTCTGAGGAATGTGTCCTTCTTTACAGATTTAAAATTATTCATTTCCTGCTGTCTCTCTGAATTCCACAATATTTTGTGTATCAGCAGCCTAACTTCATCAGGATGGGTGAAAACCACATTCTCCCAACACTTCATG